AAGAATGTTATGGAGAATGGTATGAAAAACAAAGTTCTGGGAGCCAATGATTTTATTTTAATTGCTTGATATCTTATTCTATAATTTCTATTTCGTTATTTCCCAAATCTGCCATTTTTTCATAGTACCTTGTCTTTGTCTTACATTTCTATTCATTTTTTCCTCACTTGAGCATTTTATTTATACTTGTTCTAAAAATCTCTTTGCTTGCTCTATGACTTAACAGTTTCAGGAGGTTATCTGTAGCAGCTGCTAATTCTAATTCTTCTCCATTGTAGTTCAGTTCCATTGTTTTAGTAAGCCAGTCTTCAGCAGGGATTGTTTTCCTTAAGTGGCTTTATGTCATGGGTGATGGAATAACTTCTTCAATGTAGATCAGACATGGAAATAATCACTTACTTAATTGGCATCACATCCTTATAGTGTCACACAGAATTCAAATGCTCCCTCTTCCGGGGTAGCCTCCCAGATTGCCCTGGGAAGATATTATACTTTTTTGCCTATGCCTCCAATAGAAGTTTGACTTTTATCATAGCAATTAAAGATACTGTTCTAACTTGTTTGCATGTTTCTTTTCTCAATAGACTGTAAACTCATTAAGTTCAAGGACCCTAACTTTTATTCCATATAACCAGTATCTATCATGGACTCTGGCACATAAACAATTTAATACACCTTTCCTGAATTTTTTAAAATGAATGGGCCGGGTGCAAGCCTGTAATCCTAGCACTTTGGGAGGCCGAGGCGGGTGGATCACGAGGTCAAGAGATCGACCTGGTCAACATGGTGAAACCCCGTCTCTACTAAAAATACAAAAAATTAGCTGGGCATGGTGGCGCGTGCCTATAATCCCAGCTACTTGGGAGGCTGAGGCAGGAGAATTGCCTGAACCCAGGAGGCGGAGGTTGCGGTGAGCAGAGATCGCACCATTGCACTCCAGCCTGGGTAACAAGAGCGAAACTCCACCTCAAAAAAAAAAAAAAAAAAAAAAAAAATGAATGACATCATGTGTGACTGAAAGATTGCTCTAAGGTAGTTTGTCAGCATTCATGCTTTCTTGCGAATGATTTTGCCATAGGAAATGTATATCTAGTTTTAGTACAAGTTAGTTATCATTCTTCTTAAAGAAAATAATAGCTACCCTTCTATGACTATCATTTGAGGAAATATCAAAGTTTAAATTGTGATAAACGTGCATATTCCAGAGATGTATTTATAAATGCATCCTGATCTTCACTTACAAAATCCACATTAAATATTTTTATAGGCTAACTAGAATATTCTAGAATCCTTTTACTGTAATCAGGCCAAAAATAGTAATGTTGCTGGAACCAGAAATAAAAAGTGGAACATAGTTTACGGTAAGAAGCTGCAGAAGAAAATATGACCATCATATACTCAGTCAGAGGCATCTGGGCATAAATCAAAGAATCAGTTACTCAAGGATCCAGTGGGTGGTGGAGACAGCAAACCGGATGTACACGGGCTCTGGCGTCAGAGCTAGATTTGATTACAAGTGGGGTACTTTTCTAGTTTTGTGACTTAGAACATGCAACTATCTAGATCTGAGTTTCTGCCTTAATAAAATGGTGATAAAATTGCCAATCACTACATGATTAAATGAAACAAATTCTGTGACAGCACCCAGCACAGTTCCTGGCAGTGGAAAGCATTCAGTGAATAATCATTCACACCTCGCATTCTCCCCACATTCTTTAAGCACCTCCTTGCAGTTTTGTTATTTTTTTCAATTGCTTTGGTTTTAACACTTGGGTTGCTCAATCCTCCCTCAGTACCGCCTTTTAGAAAGCAAGAGAATATTCTTGTATGGTTTCTTTTTCAGTAAGAGCCCGCTGTATAAGTAAGAAGATTTATGTCTTTTTTTTTTTTTCTCTGCTCTGTCTCCCAGGGTGGAGTGCAGTGGCTCTGATCTTGGCTCACTACAACCTCCACCTCCCAGGTTCACTCAATTCTCCGCCTGTCGAGTAGCTGGGATTACAGGCGTGTGCCACCATGTCAGACTATTTTTTGTATTTTTAGTAGAGACAGGGTTTCACCACGTTGGTCAGGCTGGTCTTGAACTCCTGACCTCGTGATCTGCCTGCCTTGGCCTACCAAAGTGCTGCGATTATAGGCATGAGCCACCACACCCAGCAGATTTATGTCTTAAGGAGACAACATGAGATGAATTGTTTAATTGAGATCTATATATTTTTAAAAACTGACATTTACTTTAAAAGTGTTTTGGAATTTCTATAATCCATATTTTATCATTTCAAAATGGCTTTGATAGAATTATTTCCACAGATTTGAATCATTTTTCTAACCTAGGAAAGTAAAATGTTTTTCTTCTCTATAAAAATTCTTTAATCTTTTGATCCATTATCATTAACATAGCTTGTTGTAATTTAATTATAGTCATAATTCATTTTTATGTGACAAATGTTTGCTTTGTGGGTAAGATAAATTGAACTTCTACTTGCTTTTGATGAATATTTAATTGGACACTAAATATGTAAAAAATGCTGATTTTTCTAATCCTATTTACAAATATCTATGTAGGCTAACAATTTTTTTTCTTGGGACAGAGTCTGGCTCTGTCACCCAAGCTGAGTTGCAGTGAGCCGAGACCATGTCACTGCACCTGCCCATATAACAACAATTTTAAAAATGATTGTTGGCCAGGCGCAGTGGCTCATGCCTGTAATCCCAGCACTTTGGGAAGCCGAGGTGGGCAGATCACCTGAGGGCAGTTCGACACCAGCCTGGCCAACATGGTGAAACCCTGTCTCTATTAAAAATACAAAAATTAGCTGGGTGTGGTGGTGGGTGCCTGTAATCCCAGCTACTAGGGAGGCTGAGGCAGCAGAATCACTGGAACCTGGGAGGAGGAGGTTGCAGTGAGCTGAGATCTCACCATTGCACTCCAGCCTGGGCAACAAGAGCCAAACTCTATCTAAAAAAAAAGATTGTCTGTGTTTGACTTTTCAGTTTACAAAAGACTTTTAACATCTTGCTAAATCTTTCCTAGAATACTCTAAGGTAGGGATTACTAACAGTAATGTTTAATATGAGAAAAAATAGTCTGAAAAAGTTAGTTTGGCCACTGTCACCAGGCTTTTCTCTGTAAAGCTGGGATTCCTACTGTACTTTGTATTCCCTTTTATAAACAATTTATTAAACTATATTAATTGTCCTGCATATACTTCAAGTGCAACTTCTAAATATGATTTTAATTGATAGCATGAGCTTTAAGACCATTTAAAAATATTATTTAGGGCTGGATATGGTGGCTCATGCCTGTAATTACAGCACTTTAGGAGGCGGAGGCAGATGGATCATTTGAGGTCAGGAGTTTAAGACCAGCCTGGCCAACATGGCGAAACCCTGTCTCTACTAAAACTATAAAAATTAGCCAGGCAGTAGTGGTGCATGCCTGTAATCCCAGTTACTCAGGAGGCTGAAACAGGAGATCACTTGCACCTGGGAGGCAGAGGTTGCAGTGAGCTGAGATCCCACCACTGCACTCCAGTCTGGGTGACAGAGTAAGACCCTGTTCCCTCCCCCCAAAAAATATAATTTGGTTTTGTTATAAAATACAAATATATTATTGGAATGAAGACTTATAGCTGTAAATGACATTCAGTAGCCTAGTGGTAAGGTGAAATATACATAGACAGATTCTGTAAAAAATAATAAATTTATGTATGGAACTGGGTGATTTTACATATTCAGGATATTATGTACATATATACCAAAGGGTGAGGACAGTATGCTAAGTCTGATAAGATAGGCACAAAAGAAAAAAAAAGCTATAATTTCGCTCATATGAGGCGCCCAGATTAATCAAATACACAGAGACAGAAAGTAGAGTGGTGAGTGCCAGAGGCGACCAGGAGCAGGGAATGGGGACTTGTTAAATGGGTACAGAATTTCAGTTTTGCAAGATGAAAAGAGTTCTGGAGCTGGATGGTGGTGATGATCATGAAATGATATGAATGTATTTAGGACTACTGAACTGTACACTAAAAACAGTTAAAATGGTGGATTTTACGTGATGTGCTTGTTACTACAAATTGAAAAAGGGAAACACCACGTATTTCCAACTACTTTGCAAATTCACATTTATCGTGCACTTGGTTTTTATAACGTTCTTTTTGCTACAAATGGTGCATGTATCTTTTAAAAATTTAAAGTAAACTGACATTTTCAAGAATGTCTTTTGGACGTTTCAAAGCCACATAGGGCCACCTTTCTTTTCCACTAAAAGGTTCAAAGGTTTTGCCTTGCTTGCAGATGGTGTAGAGATGAACAGCATTTTATATATATATATAAAATCTGTATATATATATACGTATATATATATATACACATGCTTTGTGTTAAAAATTGAAAATAACTTCGGGAAACTTATGCTGACACTTTTCATGGGAAAATAACAGGGTTGTAAAATACATGAATGGTAAGCCTGTAGCATCCCAATTAACACTTGAGGGATGAGCAGACATTCATGAGGTCTCCTGGGGGAGGGGGGCGCCCCAGGAAGATAGATGGAACAGTCAGTGTGAAAGCACAGAGGGGATGGAGCCTGTCATGTCTGGGCGGCAGGGTAGAGGAGGAGTTCCCGCCGGTCACAGCCCAAACTATGAAGGGCTGTGAGTGCCCAGTGAAGCGCTTAGGATTTTCCTATGGCTGATGTGAGGTGGGAGCAATGAAGCAGTTCACCAGCTTGCCCTTAACAAAGTCACTTTGACACCAGCATGAGAGGCAGATTACAGAGGAAGAGGAGGCTGTGAACAGGCACCAAGTGTGGAGTCAGTAGGACTTTCTGGACTCGTTTGGATGTTAATAAATGCTATCTAGTTATAAGTGAAAAGTCTTGAAAATAAAGACAATTGATGGATAAGTACCAGTCAGGTAGTAGTCACTGCTAACATTCCAGAACACACTCTCTTGTCTTCTGCAGGAGAGGTTGTTGATATTTGAACAAAAACTCTTACCTAAGGTCTTGAAACGGGTCGGCTCTGACAAGGGGTGTCTCCACTGAATGTTCAAAAAGAGCCCCTTCAGGCCCTAAACAATAAACAAAGATGAATCAGGAGGAGAAGTGACATAGGTGGCACCAGACGAAACGAACATTTAGCCTAAATATTAAAGAACATCAAGATTTTGTTCTTTGTTGCAGAATTTTTGCAGATGTTTGAGTTACAGGGGGAAAAATGGGCCCAACTGCTTCCTTACTTTTCTGGGGCTATCACGATTGCATTACATTCCTATAAACAAAATATGTTTTTATTCAAAGCAATTACAAATTAGCAGGCTCATTTTAAAACTAGAAAGCAATGTTAGTCTTCAAATCAAAAAAGAAAAAAACCCCTGAAATTTGCATACATCCATATATTTTAAGTAACAGTAATTTGACTAATTATCTAGATTTTATGTGTAAGAATAGGATCTTGTGCTATTTGTTTCTAAGGCACTCAAGGTATTTACAGAAAAAGTACAAGCTTTAAATATTGAAAATGGACCTTCTAATTCCAAGAAATAAGTATGTTCTAAGTTGTTTCATGAGTCTGAGAACCTAATTCTATGCAAGGCCCTGTGTCAGGGTGCAGAAAAACAGGTGAAGGTGACATGCTCTTTGATGTATCCTAACTTGTTTAGTACTGAGACCCCTACAATGCAGGTAATATTTTCCCATTGTACCCATCAGGAGGCTGAGGAAGAGAAAGGACAATTAACTTGTCTAGGGTTCCACAGCTGAGAAGTGGCAAGGCTGTGATTTGAATTCAGAGCTCACATTTTAAATCAATATGCTATAGGCTTTCTCATACATAAATAACAAGATATGATAGAAAGTTATGTGCCAATAGCAAAGTGCAGCCAAATTATTTGGAGGGTCATCAATGGGGAAGAATTACTTTGAGGCACCAGGGACAACTATATAGGAAAACGAAGCGGATCTGAGTCTTACAATAAATAAACTTCTATGAACATACGGAGATTGCGAGCAAGAACTTCAAAAAGAGCAGCCGTCCAGGGGCAGGAAAATGTGCTGAGTGCCCAGGAATAAACAAATAATCCAGTTCACTGGAAGCAAAGAATTTTAAGTTGAATACATATGTAACTTTCACATTATATTTAAACCTATATCCTCTGGAATTTTACGGGCATATTCACAGATATAAGCAGCACCACATTGCTTATATATGCCTGTCATGATTTCCCCAGGTTGCTCAGGCTTATTTTAGGCCCTGCCCTGCCTGGGATCCCACCCCTGCCTCAGGCCCTACCCTTGGCTTAGAGGCTGTGGCTGCCACTCTATAAGTTTTTCTCTCTCTTGTGGTTCCACAGGAATCTCAGGATTTATCCTCATGCTGTGCACTTTCTTCTTTAGGAAATACAGAGGGTCCCCGACTTGCCGTGGCTTTGCAGGGAGACAACCCACTGCAAGTTGAGGAGCTTCTATACTGAAATAGTTAAAATGTTTATTTTTTATTCAACGCTTGTAGTAGTTTCAATATTAGATACTGAAGAAAAATTGCTTGAGTAAAGGTTCTCAGCCCCTGTGTTGAGAAATCCTTACCCTGGGCAAAATGTCTTGTCAGCAACCGTTACTGATTTTTTTTTTAAGACACTATCTTGCTCTGTCACCCAGGCTGAATTGCAGTGATTCGATCTCCACTCACTGCAACCTCCGTGTCCTGGGTTCAAGCAATTCTTTTGCCTCAGCCTCCTGAGTAGTTGAGACTACAGGTGCCCACCACCACACTCAGCTAGTTTTTTTTGTACTTTTAGTAGAGACAGAGTTTCACCATGTTGACTAGGCTGGTTTCGAACTCCTGACCTCAGGTGATCGCCTCAGCCTCCTAAAGTGCTGGGATTGTAAGTGTGAGCCACTGTGCCCAGCCAGCCCTACAGTTCACAGTACCCACATTTTCTCCACAGTACTGCTTACTATATTAGCTTTGTTATTATAATTACTACTTCCTTAGTAATTTTATTTAAATATGAAGATATGATAAAAACCCACACTGGAAAAAAGCCCTTATCCAAGAAATAATAGCTTGCGGCACAAAAGCAAAATGGATTTAAATCCGAACAAAGTGAATATTTAAAATTACAAACAGATTTAGTAGGATGATTTACATAAAAACTATAATCAACTGAAATAAAGGAACACACATAAGTGAAGGTTAGTCTCATGAAATTTATATTATAATTTATGTAAATTATATTCAGATGAGAAGCATCCTCATACATGCTATAACAAGTCACATCTTAAAATACCATTGAAGCAAACCTAAATGATAATGGGAACCATTATGTAAAGTAAGGCTAGACTAAGCACTGGAGTTTCCACAGCGAACGGTGCCAAACTTTATAGTACAATGTCTGATTTGGCTGAAGCGTAGACATTTCTTGTTTGGCATAGAGAGGGAAATAATTTAACATAGTCATTTGTACAATAATGTGTATTCGTTTTATCCTTTTCTTCCTCCTTGCTTCTTCTGATTTGCAAAATATAAAAGAAAATGTAAGGAAAAATATACCTCAAGTCCATTCTCAAGAAGACACGCAGAGCTATGCTTAGTTTTATATAAGTATATTTACTGTGGTTTATGTAGCATTGTTTGAAACCCAAGTCATGGTTTGCTATCAGGAGCCTAGAGTGAGCTTTATGAATCATCAAAAGATAATGATTTCTTTCCATAACTAAGATACAGAAATAAAAGGAATGTGGGCATAAAGTTTTCTGCAATTGTTTTCTCTATTTTTATATAAACAGGATGGTATGACTGAGAAAAAGTCAACACATTTTACTCTCTGTAACACATACCCTTGGTAAAACAAAACTAGAAACTGCAGTGTATTCCACTTCCATATGCAATTTTTATTTTAGCACAGTGTTGGGTCAAAATAAATATAGAGATAAATCTCTACATTACATGACTTTTGGGGGACTTACAGAATTGCAATTTGGGGCATATCTCTAAAGAACAAAGAGAAAAGTTGGGGGTTTTATTAGAAAGAGAAATGTGGGCACGTGTGGTGGCTCACACCTGCAATCCCAGCACTTTGGGAGGCCAAGGTGGGAGGATCACTTGAGGCCAGGAGTTCGAGACCAGCCAGGCCAACATGGTAAAACCTTGTCTCTACTAAAACTAGAAAAATTAGTCAGGCATGGTGGCGCATGCCTGTCATCCCAGCTATTCGAGAGGCTGAGGCATGAGAATCATTTGAACCTGGGAGGCAGAGGTTGCAGTGAGCCAAGATCACACCACTACACTCCAGTCCAGCCTGGTCAACAAAGTGAGGCTCTATCACAAAAGGAAAAAAAAAAAAAGAAAAGAAATGTTGTGTATTGTTTTGAAAGACGACTCATGGCACTAGAGAAGCTTTTGGGAGCTGGCAAGCTCTGATTGGTGAGCAAGGGCAGCAGGTAGAAAGAACTTTTCTTGGTGTCACGGCAGGTGGTTTCAGCATTTACTGGGTAGCACTGGTCTTAACGTGACAGCAAGTCATTTCAGCAGCTGGGCTGGAGGAAAATACAATTTTTGAAAAAGGTGCTAAGTGTCCTGAGTGCTTTTTCCCCCAGACCCTCTATTTATTTGAGTAAGACAAAATGACCCAATTCATATAATCAACTTTCACAGCAGCTTCAATTCTTTTTCCCCAATAGATGAGTTTATTCAAAGAGTTTCAGTGGCACTATTTTACAGGGCAGTAAAACTCAGTAATTAGTTTTTAAATGCATGCCAATTACTTCCCTTCTAATCTAACTATAATGAGTGATATTATGTTGACATATGATTATGGTAATGTACTTATAGGGAGATAGAAAATCTGTAAATTGATATGTAGTATCTTTAAATAAGAGCAGAAGTTTCTCTACATTGAAATGATAAATGCCCAAATTATATGATCTTGATTATATCATTACTGTTCAGCCTCGAAGTTAAATACGCCTCAGAAACTATTTGCATACAATAAAATACATTTTCCTAAACGGTTTCATAAAATCATTCTCAGTAAGTTGTTGTTGATCTTCAATTTAATTTCATTTTCTTTATGTTTGCATTCATTTAAATATGAACAGCCAAGATGATAGAAGAAATGCAATTGTTGTAATACTGCTTCTTTGTGAAAAATAAAACATTATTTGAAGTTATATAATGTAAAATTTTAGACAGGAAATAAAGTTCTACTATAAAATACCATTATATAAATCATGAATTAAAATGACCCTGTATAATATGCATTATTTATACAGCAAAGTATAAATAAAAAAGGAAAATAAAAGAAAGCCCAGTGTAATAATGTTAACTTTTTTGTTTTTTAGAATATATATTGAGATTAGAAATGGTAATTGGCTTGGCCATTTCTGCTGCAAAGTAATAGCACTCAAACCACGCCATTCTTTTCTTCTGGATCCTAGAGCATTATATGATGAATGATGCTCACGTGAAGATTTGTGGTAAGACTATGGTGCAAGACAGATCGAGAGAGTCATGAAGGCAGCTGAAAAGTTCATGGTATAGAGGAGCCCAGCGGTCATGGTGCTCTTGGACAGAGCTCAGCAACTGAATGGCAAATTGCTCCAAGTTGCTCCATACTTTCCAACATACCGCTGTTTCTAGGACCCTTCAGTTATAGAAATACAAAGAATTCAATATTAATACTTTTGTTCTCACAGTAATATATATCTCAGACATGCACTGGATTTTTGTATCGACACTGAAACTATTTGCTAAGATTCATTCTACACATTCATCAAGCATTTATGGACTGATAGGGGCTTTTCAAGTGGTGCCAAAAAAAAATTCAATTTCTCTTGTTCAGCCAAACTTCTGATTATGTCCCCACATACTTCCTCTGCTGCCTCCCGTCCTGTTCACTCTTAACCACTTCAGCCTGCCTTTTGCCTTTATTACTCCAGTGAAAAATGCTCGCCTTAAGATAGCAATAAATCCAGTGACAATTTCTGTCATCTCTCCTGGGTCCAAATTCTGAGAAAACCGTCTCTCTTGACACCAGAAAAATGGTTATTGCGATATTTCTCCCACTGCATT